CCAGCTAATCCCGAGAAATAATGACAATCTAATTCATGATCCCGACAACGGCGGGAACAACCGACCGTCCGAGTCTCGTCGCGTCGGGCGTGGGCTCCTCGAACCACTCGCGCCGGCCGGATCGATCACAGAATGGGTGGCGACGGGAAAGTGTCATTCGAGCGCTACGCAGGCGTCAAAGACGGCGCTCTCAAGGGGGTCAAGCTCAAGCACAGTGAGGCGGGCGGTGACGGCCGGATGGCAGAGGTGCCACCCTCTCCTGGAAAGATCTAAACTACCTAGGCGCAGCCACGTCGGGTGCTGCGCTGTGATATCGCGATACAACCCAAGCTGCCACCCTGCAAACCTAGCGCCAGACCATTGCAGTGACGCAGCCGCGCTGCGGTGGGAGGGGTTGCGTGCTGAGAGTGCTGAGAGGTTGACCGGCACGGTGGCAGGTGCTGTTCGTGCCACAGGGCTTCGAAATGACGAGCGACAAGTTCAAAGATGTTGCGGACAAGACATGGTCTCTCAAGCCCCCCAATCTGGTTGTGCAATGCGACGCCGGCATGCTGCATCCTTCGCAGCTGTGCACGCCGGCAGTCGCATAGCCAATCCCCGCCCAGCTCGAGGCAATGAAGTCTCCGATCCCTCTCAAGCCACCCTTCCAGCACTTGTCCTGTAGTGAATCGCCCACTCCGAATCTCACCGCCTGCACTGCCACTCCCCCTAGAGCTTGATGCGGCTGCCTTCAATGGAGGAGTGGCGGCGCTTCGCTGTGCAGCACCAGATGCAGTCGAGCAGGCGTGCGGTGCGCGACGGGTGCGCACACTAGTGTGAGGGCCGTCGTCTGCGGGGCCTTCCCCCGAGCCTCCTCGAGAGCCGCCGTTAGGCGACCGGACTGCGTCAAGGACGAGACAACAGTGGTCAACGAGCTGCTCTTCCAGCGGCTGGTGACGGTCTACACGGCGATGATCGAAGCGATGATCTCTGCGCCCGTCGTCATAGATTAAGATAGAACGGAGGAGCTTTCTCCTTGTTTAATTAAATCTCTCCTTTTCGTAGCTTTTTGGCTTTTAATCCCACCGTCTCACCTCTTGTGTGTTACTCTAGTGCCATCTGAGAGAGGCTCGAGGCAATGCAATCTGCAAAATGCAAAATGCGATTTCAAAAAAACATGAAAAACATGCGACAGCCTAGTCTGGCGCGGCCGCCTCCCCTACGACGCTCCTCAGCAGGTCCGCAACCGCCGCCTCCTCCCTCAGCTCAACCGCCGCCGCCGCCGCCCTGCTCGCCGCCGCCCTCTCCGCCGCCGCCGCCGCGCCCACCTCCACCTCGGTCGCCACCCTCTCTGCCGCCACGTCCGCCGCTGCCCTCTCCACCTCCGCCCTCGCCGCCGCCGCGCGCTCCTTTGCCGCCCTCGCGGCCGCCGCCTTCGCCACCGCTCTGGCGCGGGCGAGGCTGGCCTAGAGTGTGCAGATCGTGCGCTGAAGCGTGTGGACCCAGTCTCGAATTGCGGCCAGTTGCTGAAACAGCCGCGCAAAACGACCATCTGCCTAGATGTATGCTACGGCAACACTAGCCTCGGACGCCGCCGCCGCCGCCTCCGCCGCCTCCTCCCCGGCCACCGCCGACGCCGCCTTGGCCTCCGCTCTCCTCGCCTCCGCCGCCGCCCGCTTCGCCCCCGCCGCCGCCGCCGCCGCCGCCTTGCGCGCCGCAACCACTCGCGCCGCCGCCTTCGCCTCCGCCGCCCTCGCCGCCGCCGCGCCGCCCTTGGCCGCCGCCAGCGCCGCCGCCGTGTCCGCCGCCGCCCTCGCCGCCGCGTCCGCCTCTCTCTCCAGCGCAGACACGCCGGCGACCAGCCCCTGCAGCAGTCAGAGGGGCGGCGGTCAGCAGCGGCCGGCAGCGAGACTGGCGAGACCGGCGGCGAGCCGAGCAGCAGAGAGCGTCTGGCCGGAGTGAGGCTGTGGCGAGGTGTGCACGAAGCGGGGCGAGGCAGCGGGGCGAGTGGAGGGGTCTCGGAAGTGTCTCGGGAGTGCCGCGCCTCCTCCTTGCCCAGCTTTGCCAGCGGGCGCAGCTCCTGTTCACAGCAGCGCGCCGTGAAGAGACGCCGTTCACACTCTCAACGCCGGGCGACGAGCGAACCCGCATTGGCAGATCGGGGCCACACACGGCGGCGGCTACATCTCGCTAATCTCGCTTCGATCTCGCCACTACCTCGGCTAGATCTCGGCTGTATCTCGTCGACACCTTTGGCAGCTCCGGGCCAAACGCGGCGGCCGCGCGCTCTTCTGCCGCCGCGTCCGCCTATACAGCAGCCGCCGACGGCTGGGCCTGTTAGGGTGTGGGTGAGGGTGCCTGCTGTGCTGTGCTGAGCTGAGAGCTGAGCTGAGCTGAGCTGAGCTGAGCTGGGCTGGGCTAGCGGTGCCGGCGTGCGGTGTTGCACACACACCTGCTCCGCCGCCCTCGCCCTCGCAGCAGCGCTCTCCACCGCCGCCGCCCTCGCAGCGGCCTCGTCCGCCGCCCTCCCCGCCGCCGCCTCGGCTTCGACCAGGGCTACCGCTGCGCTCTTCTCCGCGGCAACCGCCCTCGCCTCCGCCGCGCCCGCCGCCGCCGCCCTCCCAGCAGCAAAGTCCGAGTCGGCTATCGCCGTCTGCACGGTGGCCTTTGCCGGCGGCGTCGGCCTCGCAGCCTTGGCCGCCGCCTCGCCGCCTCCCGCCGCCGCCATCGCTGGGGCCGCGACGGCACGCTCGGCCTGCGGCGGCGGCGGCGGCGCGGCAAACGTCGACAGCAGGGCCTGCGACGTCAGGCCGGCCGCGGCGGCAGCGAGGGCGGCGGCCGCCGCAGCCAGGAGGTACCTGATCAGGCCGAGGTCCGGCTCTGGCGGCTTTGATGGCGGCTGCTCGTCGGCGTCGCCAGGACCTCGCTGCTCCATCGCGTCGGCCGCCGCCTCGAGCCGCCGTGCCTCCGCCTCCAGCTCTGCCGCCTGCCGCTGCAACGCCTCGAGCTCTCTCTCGTCGAGCCGCAGCGCCGGGCGAAGGGTGGCGGAGCGGCGGAGCGGCGGGCGGGAGGCGGGCAGTCCGGGCAGCGCCGGCGTCCAGGCTAACGCGTGGAGAGAGAGGAGGAGCATGCGCCTGTTGTTTGGATGAGAGAGAGAGAGAGAGAGAGAGTCTCTCTCTCTCTGTTGTTTGGATCCCCCAGCCTCGCGCCGAGATAATTATATTATTTATTTTATGGCGCTGGAGGTTGGCGAATTCTTTCAGCAGAGATCGCCTCGGTAGCGTTGCCCGGTCATCAACTAAAGCGCCTCGTCGCACGGCCCAGAAGCCCCAAGAACTCATCGCGCGGTCCTCGCTCGCAAACATGCCTGCCGCCCTGCGCGCGTCGCCCATGCCGAGGAGACTGCTGCTGGACGGTCGCTCGCCCGCGCGCCGCACGCTGCTGCGCCACTCCACCGTCCAGCGGCGAGACGGCTCGGTCGCCCCGCTGAACAAGCTGAGAGGAGCGCGTCGCCCCGCCCCTCTCCCAACGCTTGGATGGGACGGCGAACGGGCACGGCCGAGCCGCCAGTCGTGTGTTCGGCCACCATCGCGCCCGCCTCCCTCCACCCGCCCGCCGCCCCCGCCTCTGCCCAGCCTCTGCCCCCCCCCCGCCCCCTTCCCCTCGCTCCAAGCGCCGGCACGCACCGGCCCGCCGAGTCCCTCCAACCGCGCCGACGCGGCAGGCTTCATCGAGATCGAGCGCAAGGCTCCTGCGCCATACCGGCCCGCAGCCGACAGGCTCGCCGACTACGCAGAGATCAACGGGCCCGCAGACCAGGCCGAGCTCACGCGCCAGTCTGCGCGGTGCATGGACTGCGGCACGCCCTTCTGCCACACGCACACGGGCTGCCCGATCAGCAACGTCATCCCCGAGTTCAACCAGCAGGTCTTCGACGGCGAGTGGCGGCAGGCCTACTCCAACCTGGACACTTCCCAGACGCCTCCCCGCCCCCGCCCAGGCCTACTCCAACCTCGCCTAATTAATTGTTAATTGTATGTAATTCTCCCGCCCAGGCCTACTCCAACCTCGCCTCGACCAACAACTTCCCCGAGTTCACAGGCCGCTTCCTAGACACTTCCTAGTCACTCCCTAGACACTCCCTAGACACTCCCTAGACACTCCCTAGACACTCCCTAGACACTCCCTAGACACTCCCTAGACACTCCCTAGACAATCCCTAGACACTCCCTAGACACTCCCTAGACACTCCCTAGACACTACCACATCGCCGCCCTCTCCACGCCTGCCGCTGTGTCCACAGGCCGCGTCTGCCCGGCGCCCTGCGAGGGGGCCTGCGTCGCCGGCTTGGTCGACGAGAGCGTCACGATCAAGTCGCCGGGAGGTGTGAACGGCGTCTCTTCACAGCAGCACCTGTGAACAGGTCGACGAGAGCGTCACGATCAAGTCGCCGGGAGGTGTGAACGGCGTCTCTTCACAGCAGCACCTGTGAACAGGTCGACGAGAGCGTCACGATCAAGTCGATGGAGTACTCCATCATCGAGCGGGCGTGGTCCGAGGGGTGGGTGGTTGCGGCGCCGCCCGCGCGCCGCTCGGGCAAGAAGGTCGCCGTGGTTGGGTCGGGCCCTGCCGGGCTCGCCGCGGCGGACGAGCTCAACAAGAAGTACGGCCACGCGGTGACTGTGTTTGAGCGGGCGGAGCGGGCGGGGGGGCTCCTCACCTACGGCGTCCCAAACATGAGGCTCGGATGAGACCTTTCCGAGACTTGTCCTGGACCCTCCCTGGACCCCTGCCCTTGCAGGCATCCCAAACATGAAGCTCGACAAGGAGACTGTGCAGCGCAGGGTGGGCCCGACGGAGGCGGAGGGATACCCTCTCGTCGCTCATCAGTAGATTGAGTTGAACCAATGGACTCATAGGTGGACCTGATGGAGGCGGAGGGGATCTCCTTCGTCACTTAAAAGAGTTGATCAATTATTGATTAATCGATTAGGTGGACCTGATGGAGGCGGAGGGGATCTCCTTCGTCACCGGCGCAGAGGTCGACGCCGCCGCCATCAGCGAGACCGTGGAGGGGTTCGACGCCACCGTCCTCGCCATCGGGTCGACGGTGCACTTCCTAGACACCTCCTAGACACCTCCTAGACACCTCCTAGACGCCTTCTGGCGCTCATGAAATCACGACTCACGCCACTGCCTCCCCCCCCCCAGGTGCCAAACAACCTCCCCATCCCGGGCCGCGACCTCGACGGGATCGTCTACGCGATGGAGCTCCTCCTCACGCCTAGTGAGTTCATCAATCTCGCCGAATGAACGACTTAGGATCGTCTACGCGATGGAGCTCCTCCTCACGCCTAGTGAATTCATCAATCTCGCCGAATGAACGACTTAGGATCGTGTACGCGATGGAGTTCCTCACGCGCAACCAGAAGGCGCTCTTCGCCAACCTTCCGGCGCTGCTGTTAATTAACTAACGGTACTTAATTACTCAACTATTAATTAACAGGCGCACTTCGCCAACCCGCCGGCGCTGCTGTTAATTAACTAACGGTAATTTGTTACTCAACTATTAATTAACAGGCGCTCTTCGCCAACCCGCCGGCGCTGCTGACCACGGAGGTCACCCCAGAGGCGAGCTAGCTCACACCCATTAGTTAATGACTAATGGACGGGCTGATGAAGCTGATGTCCTGGTGATCTGATGAACGGGAGGTTGGGACGGCGCCTCGAAGTGATTACTCAGCTACTCGGTCCACTAAAGTCCCACTAGCAACTAAGTAATCACCCTTGCTAATTACTTAATTAATCACGCCCGTCCCCCTCCAGGTCGGGCTAGCCCTATTAATCAACTAAGTAATCACCATGCCAATTACTTAATTAATCACGCCCGTCCCACTCCAGGTCGGGCTCTCACCTAATTAATCAATTAAGTAATCACCCTGCTCATTACTTAATTAATCACGCCCGTCCCCCTCCAGGTCGGGCTCACCTCCAAGTACGGCGGCGGCTTCATCTCTGCAAAAGGCAAGCACGTCGTCGTCATCGGCGGCGGAGACACCGGCACGGACTGCATCGGCGCGTCGCTGCGGCACGGCTGCAAGCGCCTCCCTGGACACCTCCCAGACACGTCCTGCACACCCCTGCCAGGCACGTCGCTGCGGCACGGCTGCAAGAGCCTCCCTGGACACCTCCGAGACACGTCCTGCACACCCCTGCCAGGCACGTCGCTGCGGCACGGCTGCAAGAGCCTCCCTGGACACCTCCGAGACACGTCCTGCACACCCCTGCCAGGCACGTCGCTGCGGCACGGCTGCAAGAGCCTGATCAACTTCGAGCTCTTCCCCGCCCCGCCCGACGAGCAGGTGACACCTCCTAGACACTTCCTAGACACCTCCTAGACACTTCCTAGACACCTCCTAGACACCTCCTAGACACCTCCTAGACACCTCCTACACACTTCCTGGACACCTCCTAGACACCTCCGAGACACCTCCGAGACACCTCCTAGACACTTCCTAGACACTACCCCCCCCCCGACGAGCAGGCTCGCCTCTTCCAGACACCGCCTCGACACCTCCTAGACACTTCCTCGACACTGCCTCGACACCTCCTAGACACCTCCTAGACACCTCCTAGACTCTTTCTAGAAACCTCCTAGACACATCCTAGACTCTTTCTAGACACCTCCTAGACACCTCCTAGACACCTCCTAGACACCTCCTAGACTCTTTCTAGACACCTCCTAGAAACCTCCTAGACACCTCCTAGACACCTCCTAGACACCTCCCAGACACCTCCTGAGACACTTCCTGGACACTTCCTGAGACACTTCCTGGACAGTTCCCCGCCGTCGGCCACACTTCTCCACCCGCCGCTCACCGCCACCCCCTCCTTTGAACCAGGACAAGCGCGGCGAGGCGTCCGGCAACCCGTGGCCTCTCTGGCCTCGAAGCCTGCGCGTCGGCCTGCTTGGCGCAGGAGCTGCTTCTCACCACTCGCACCTTCGTCGCTTAGGCCGCGGATCATGCGAGTCGACTACGGCCACGAGGAGGCGTCGCACCGCTTCGGCGCGCGCCTAGCCGAGAGACAGCCGAGATACAGTCGAGATACAGTCGAGATACAGTCGAGAGACAGCCGAGAGGCAGCCGAGATACAGCCGAGATGTGCAGCCGAGATGTGCAGCCGAGATGCAGCCGAGATGAGAAATGGCGACGAGAAGTCGCACGTCGCTTTCAGCGCCTTATCAGCCGCACTTGCTGCCCTGACTTGCACCTGCTGCTCTTCTCTCCTGGACCCTTCCCTGAAGTTTCTCGGAACCTTCGTACCAAGGCGCCGACCCGCGCACCTACTCCGTCCTCTCCAAGGAGTTCGTCTCGGACGGCGCCTCCATTCACAGCGCGCCGGAGGCACGCCGCTGTGAACAGCGCCTGCCCATGCCCGCAGCCGTTGTGACCAGGCGCCGGCCGCGTGCGCGCCGTCAAGACAGTGCAAGTTGAGGTTGGGCCGGACGGCCGGTTCGCAGAGGTGAGAGGGGGGAGGGGGGCGGGCGGGCGGGGGGCACCGATGACGAGGCTGGATCGGCTCATTTCTGAGGGGGTGTGAACAGGTGGAGGGGAGCGAGAGGGAGCACCCCGCGGACTTGGTCATCCTCGCGATGGGGTTCCGCCACCCGGAGCAGGCGAAGACGCGCCCATTGCACGCCCACGACACGGCCACGACACGGCCACGACACGCCCACGACGCGCCCACGACACGCCCACGACACGCCCACGACACGCCCACGACACGCCCGCGACACGTCCACGACACGTCCACGACACGCCCACGATACGCCCACGACACGCCCACGACACGCCCCCGACATGTCCACGACATGTCCACGACGCGCCCACGACACGCCCACGACACGCCCACGACACGTCCACGACACGTCCACGACACGCCCACGACACGCCCACGACACGCCCACGACACGCCCACGACACGCCCACGACACGCCCACGACACGCCCACGACACGCCCACGACACGCCCACGACACGCCCACGACATGTCCACGACATGTCCACGACATGTCCGCGATTCTGCCACACGCCCGCGAAGTATCCGTACCCCCCCCCCTTCCCCCTTCCCCTTTCCCTTCGCAGGAGATCGTGCGCGCGTTGCGGCTCGAGACCGACCAGCGCTCCAACGCAAAGGCGATCCTCTCAAGCAGCCACGCCGACAGTCGAGTAGTCCATGAGTTGATTCGCCCGCGCTCAAAGTCAAAGACAACCGACACCTGCGACTCATTCACTAACGAGTTGACGCACGGACCGCCTCAAGGCGAGCACGAGCGACTACAAGACCTCCGCCCCCGGTGCTTGCTCGGCGGGCAGCTGCCGCCTAACCCTGTGAACGGCGCCTCTTCACGCCGTCCGCTCTGCCTCAGGCGTCTTCGCGGCGGGCGACTGCCGGCGCGGCCAGTCGCTCGTCGTCACTTAATAATGAATAGGCCGTCTAAGCCGTCTGCTAAGGTGTTAATGAATGAATAGGCGCGGCCAGCCGCTCGTCGTCTCTTAATAATTAATAGGTCTTCTAAGCCGTCTGCTAAGGTGTTAATGAATGAATAGGCGCGGCCAGTCGCTGGTCGTCTGGGCGATCAACGAGGGTCGCGGCGTCGCAAAGTCGGTGGACGCGTACCTCGGAGGGAAGGGGTGGTGAGAGGGGCGAGAGGGGGGGCCTTGCAGGCGGGCGAGGCGCCCGCTCCGCATCCGCCGCCGCCGACGGGCATGCGGCGGCGGTGTGGCGGTGGGCGTGGCAGGGGACGAGAGCCGCACAGCGACCAGCACGAGCAGCGGGCAGCGCATGTTATGGTATCGGTCGGTGATGCGCGGGGACACCCTCACGTGACCCTGTTTTGTACGTCGTCTATTGTTGCGCGCCCTCGGTGGATTGGCGAAAAAACTTCGTAACTCCTTGGCGACGAGCCGCGGGCTTTTGCCATTGCGTGCCAGCCTCAGACAGCCGGGCCGCCCGAGAGTTTTACTGACGAGTTTCTCTCGCGGGGGCGGCCCGGCACAACCAACCCTGTGCTCAGCACAAAAAAAATTCTGGCGCAGCGGCCGGCGTGAGCCGCGCCAGCTGTCGACAGATGTCGACAGATTCGATGGATTTGATGGATCCCTTGATGGTCCGATGGGCGACCCCCCCAAACCCCCCCACCAGGTCTCGAACCTGCCTCCACTCGCTCGAATCAGGCGCTCCGAACGGCTTTGCAAGCCGGCTTGCAAAATTGACGGCTAATGCTTCACTGCCTAATGATATAGTACAATTTTATTGCTTCAGCATCAACGCCACGCCACGTTCTAGGGACGCAGAGCGCGCACTGAGAGACCACTCACATCGCTGTTGCGGGGCGGCAATGTGACTGGACTCGCCGTGCGCGCCCAGCTAACCCTAGCCACCAGCCTGCGCCATACCCAGGTACGGTCGCACCTGTCTCTCCACCTATCATCCCAACTCCTCGGGCGACCGCGCGGCTGCGCTACTCACAGGCAGTCTCCCTGCCTCAGCTGTTACAGGCACCACCCACCGACCAGTCTCGACGACGAGCCGCGGCAGGGCTCGCTGCGCCGCTGCACAGCTTTACGCCACAACACAACATATCAACCAACGTAACCTCCCCCTTAGTGACCCACCCTTGCGGGCTCAGTTGCCGCATTAGGAGCCTTCGCACCGCGAGTGGGCTCAGGTGGGATCCACGGAGAGAGAGGTTCCATACACAGCCGCACTCTACACACCTTACCCCCTCTACTCGGGCGGCATCGTGGTGAGACCCTGGGCAGTCAGAGAGGCTGACAGTAAGTGGCGGGCTGAGAACTCGGGCCTCTCCCGACCCGCCATCGCTGCCTAAGGGAGGATCCTATCGGCCACTAGACCATGACAGATCAGAGGCGCACACGCCCTGTCCCAGGCAGCAGCTGCAGCAGACGCGCTGCCGGGCGCGATCGCCGTCTTCCTCTTCTACAACGACCGCCCTTACCTCGCTCGCGGGTGCGGACCCACCCTCCCCCTCTCCCCCCACCCCTCTTCTCTCGTCTCCCATTCCCTTCCACCGCCGCCGCCGCGATGCGGCGTGCGAGAGTCCCCAACCCCGCTCTCAGAGGTGCCCCGCCAGCCCGCCACCACAGCTCTACTCGTCCGCTACCCCCCCCCCACGAGGTGGGACTTTGGAGCTGGGGGGATCTTGGTGATGAACGTTTCCTAGGGCACGTTCGTTAGGGATCTCGTTTTGTACAATAAACGAGTGGGAGGCCTTTCAGAAGAAC